ATCTTTTGACTCCACCTTTCGATGCTGTTTGGTGAAAGTAACTGTCTCCCTTCTCTTCCCCCTCTATTTTTTCCCTTTTATTTCTATATAACAATTTTTTTACGAGATGGACGGGAGAAAATGGTTTTTGTATTTAATTTTCTAATAGTAGAGAAAAATTAGATTACTTATTATTATTTACTAATCTTTTTTTCTTCTTACTTATTATTCTTCTTACTTATAATCTTCTTACTTATTATTATTTATTAATCTTCTATTTCTCGTTGAGAGTGCTCCCGATTAAGACAAGAATTATCGAGCAACTTGCGTCCGGGAGGATATTTTATTTAAACAGCATTGAAAGCATTGTTTCTACTCACATTCTACTCACACCTCCATTGTACATCCGATTCATATAAAGATCAATGCATATTATATGAAATAAAAATACGAAGGCGTTATACGCGAAGCGTATCGTTCCGTTTCGTTTCGAATGTACTCGTACATTACTCCATTTGAAGCCTGCAAAAAATATTTGTTAGTAAGTGAACATTCGTTCGATAAAATTAAAAGTAATTTAACATATCAATATTTTAATAAAATATAATTTTATGTATATATTATATACAATTTTTCTAAGTTGCCATTTTCAAGATGACAACTAAACGGAGAATAATCGTGCATAAATCATATCGTAGCGCACGTACGTTTACAATCGGAATCGGTACATTCGCGTAATATATTATTTTATTGCGTGGTTGTAACAAAATCATACATGATAGCCCGGGATGTATAACACTTATAAACGCCACCAGAAGTTCATAAATTATTTTGCCGCTTAGATGATTTAGAGCCAAACACTTGCGTTTATTTTCTTAATCACAATAGTGATTAAGATCGATAATCATGTTTATTACGTTTACTTAAGTTGAAGCGAGCTTTACACATTGCATTCATTTAACACTGCCAGACAAATGTCTTCGTGTATCATAGTATTACTGAATGGCACTAATAAGTTAGCAATATTTTTATTAAATTTATTCTTGCGTGAAAAACGTTAGACAGATGTTATGCAATAATTATTTTTTTTATTCTCATTTTTTAAACTGATCATTTTGACACGATTTTTATAAAACCCTTGTGACATGACGTATGTCTTAATGATATTGGAAGAATCGATTACAAAATATATTCGAGTTACGAATCCTTGCATCCTAATTGTTGTAAGATTAAAGTGTATCCTTCTGTTCCGTTTTTATGTATCTATCTGTAAGTCGCATGTTACTTTTCTTTTCCCATTTGCTGCTTGCTTATTGGTTGCACCATTGTGAATGCTTACAGACTTACACTTTAACCTCTTTTTCTGTATTCACGTTTATATCAACGTTGTATAACCTTCTGTATAACCAAGTGTTGGTTTATAATAAGTCTACTAAGTATTTCAATTGACTTGGGGTGGTGTATTTCATTCTGGAAACCATTTACAACATTATTAAGAAATCCTAAATGCGTATTTATCCGCATAAGTGGTCGCACGAATGTAATATATCGATTATAGCCGATTATGGTCAATTATCAACTTTATTTTTTTATTTATTTTTTTATTTTATTGCACGTGATCATCCATTGTGTGACAGTGCGACTTGCTATTTTCTTTTTATTTTATTGTAGCAATTTACGTACAGCAGTATATTTAGCGTTTACTTGTGTAGTAAAAACTACTAACCCCGTAGAGAATTTGTCAGGTACTGACTTATGATTGTTGCGTTCTTATGCAAGTTAGTCCGTAGTCCGTTAGTCCGTAGTCCGTAGTCCGTATAGTTTGCCTTGGAAACTAAGCAGAAGCGCTTAAAATCGATTTTTACGCAATAAAGTTTACGATTTTGAAAGGATTTCGGCAGATGGACATCGGTAATAATGTTGTACTATTGATACATTAATAACACGTATGCCGCCGAAAAGCACTAAAAGTTTTACAAGGATCCATTTTTTATCAGGAAAGAGCTCCAAGAGCATAAAATTAACTTTCAAAGTAAATATAATAAGTTTAGATTTCAAATAATGAGTTTAGTCAAACAGTTGTGTATAAGATAACATAAATCATTGACTTCGAATCTGTATTATATATAATTATGATGTTTCTCATTGTTTCTTGCGAACACGCAAAATATAAATCTTTTTTTCGTCACTTCTCTGAAATTGTATCAATTGCATTGCTTTTTAAGCAATATTTTATTATATTTTATAGGTACGTAATATAATAAATATATGTTCTATCATATAATATAATGTATACCAAAATTTATTATTTTACATACCTATAACTTGAAAATAAAAGAATTTATTTCAAAATAAACATTTTGATCTGATCGACGCAGAGAGGAAGATACATTTTTATATTTTACTTATTACGATTCACATCTCATTTTTGTTATTTTAAAAAATTCTAATTAAAGTTCATAAAATTTCATTTATTTAACTCTTACTCATAATTACATAAAATATCGACATAAGAGTAATAAGAGAGACCTTTTATTTTATTTTTAGGTTCTTTTTCAAATAGGTTTTTTAAATATGATGTTGCTTAATTTAATTGATCATCTAGAAAAATGCAGAAAATAGAAGAAATTATTATATAAAAATTAATATATTTAATTATATTTATTTTAAACAAATATTAGATTATTGCGAACAAATATTAGAAACGCAATGGATCATAATCTTAAGATTTTTGAGATTTTCTTGTACCATAACATCCACCGGAAATAATATCAGTAATGGATAGTCTAAATATCTTAGAATAAAAGATATCGTAAGATAAAAAAAGGAGCAAAAAAGAATCTAAATGCCTTTGTTGAAGTAACCCTATAGAGTAACGATTCAAAAGGATCGGATTGCAAAATACCTGGGTATTTTATGGAAGTGATGAAAAGGATAGGTAGTGTTTTCAACGGATGTTCACTCGATGCCGACTTTACAGTTAAGATACAAAAACGCATGGTGCACGTAGTAAAACGAGGGAGACACAATTTTCACCACAGGCTACAATTTATATTTACAATTCATTGTAACCCTTGCGCCTAAAATACTTACATATGTACATAATATATATTGGTCGTAACTTGTGTGAAACACAACTGCTAAATGCAAAAATTGCATGCAGCATGCCATTAGTTCAACTATGAATTTACATTAATATTTAGCCGACTATTTGTTTACTGAATAAGATCTTATTTGTTTATATATTTTAAATCTGTTATAATATTTATTAATTTATTAATTTACAAAAGATATATGTACTACACACACACACACACACACACACACACACACGTACACGCGCACACAAACACGCACACTCACGCGCGCCATATGCTTCACATAAGTATATATAATTGTGATATACGCTTCTGTTTATTAACGTTATTAACGCGTATGTGGTACAAAAGACATTTATGTTGCAATCATAAAACAATCACCTTCCACATGTAACTGAGCAATTGCCTGTGTTATCATTCTTATGACTAGTATTCAGTCGAGAGAAATAGTGTCACACAAGAATTAGTCTCGAGAAGCGTATGTGTGTAAGTGGCCACATCACTGGAGAACAATTTGCTCTCACACTTGTATTCTTGCTTAATCCTGTTTATTTTCAAAAGTTACTTTTAAATATGGACACCGAGCTTTAAAGCATACCAATAATATTTACAACGAAGATGAATGGATGCGTAAAAACGTAAAATTTATATTGAGCATTTATAACGTTAATCTGTTATAGATAATAAAACACATAATTATTATATTTTTCTCACGGCACGTGCCATACATCTTTATTACAGGTCATAGATTTATAGGTTTATTTTTAGGTGTAAATTGTTTCCTAAAACGCCCTCAGACGCTATCGAAAATACCACGTATAACGTCAGAATTCTGAAGATTGTCCCTTACAGGTTTGCTGTAATAAGTTAATAATAATCTTGCTAGCAGATTTATGTACCTTTCCGCGCAATATCAAGAGTCTGTAAAATAATTTGGAAAAATAATGAAGTATAATAGATTGCAAAAATTGGTAGGAAATTGAATAATGATATAATTTTAGTGAAGTTAAATTGTGATCAATAATCATGATCATATCGTAATTAATAATATATACGATTCTAGTTAAAAAAAAAATAAAATAAATAAAAGGAAATCGAATTCAGAGAGGAATGAGCAGAGAATATGTTTCTACGCTTTCTACGTTCACGGGTTTTCTTTGACATATCGTCTCGTGAACGAATCGATCAAAATGCAAATTAAACGCTGGCGAACATTTTTTCGCATTTATTACGACGTATATTGTATATCTTCCGAACTTTGACAACGAGAATTTGCATTCATGGCTTGTTCATTGTTTATTCGCTCATATCCACGTTTATACGTAAAACAAACGTGAAAAAAGGAGAGCCTGATCAAACGAAGATAACTCGGTGTATCTTTTGCGTTGGAGAATTATAGTTACGTGAGCCCCATGGACATTAATTGGCGGACATCTTCGTTGCCTCGCCGAGACGGCTTTAATGATCAGCCCGTAAAAATGTTTTCTATTTTTTTTATGACGCCATAAACACTCCGCCGGCAAAGCCGCGCGCAGTGTTCTCGTTGCAGCTTATTTTATGCGCCGTTCCACGATATCTTTATACGTGCACATAAATACATATATGTGCATTTGCATCATTAACACATCGATCCGAAAATGTAGCTATTAATCATACTCGAATAATTCGGATATCAAAATGGAGTGAAATTGCACACAGCAGACAGTAACTTTGCACCCACGGGCGCCATGATGAGATCGCACTCGCGCGATTTTAGATCGCCAAGCAATGTTAAAAAGTTCAATTACGAAATACTGTTTTATGAACTTAAACTTCATGGAATTATTTATCATTTGTACATTTTAACAATTTAATTTTACTTAAAGTATTTTTACAAATTTTGTCGTTTTTTTTCTATATTTATTCTATATTTTATTTGGAAAGAGACACACCTCGATTTTATTTTTATAAAGTCGAAATGTGTACTTTATTTTCCTTGAAGGCTCTATCATCTCTAAAAAGAATCATCTAGAAGAGTTGGAATTCCTGGAATATTTAGTTATACTGCAGCGGGAGGGACGAGGGATCGTGAGCGCAACCTCTCGATTATAGTACCTGCGGGAAGCGTGATGGCACATCGGAGCGCCTCAACGTCTCATAACTTTACATAAAATTAGTACCTAAAAGCCCTTCGTCCTTGAGGGCCGCGGAAAGCTCTCGCACTGGCATTATGACCGCAGAAGTTCTAACGTTTAATCGGCGAACATAACATTAGATACTGGAAGCGCGTAATAATATGTATAAGTGGACGAATATCTCAAATATGATTTAAAATACAAGTGAGTAAATTTAAAAGAAAGGAATCAACAATCAAGAATGCGGTATGCGCGTGAAAACTGGAGAAAAATTCTGAAGATTCTTGTTTAACGTACTTCTATTTTAATAATGTTATTTCTAATATATATGTTTTTTCACAGAAACAATATAAAAATACCACTATTGTCTGATAAAATTAAAAGTTAAACATTATTTTAAATTCAGCAAAGGGAATATAACAATTTGTGAAAGCATGAAGAATTGTGTTTACAATATTTCAGTCGCGCTTGCAAAATATTTTTTATGTGTTGAAACTCGACGTTGCTAAAGAATCGATTTATAAAATAATGTTACTTGATTGCAGCCAACATTGAGTGCCTACGGTATGTGATGTAATGTCACATGTGTCACCATGTTGCGCGATATCTTAGTGAGCACACGCGAGAGATATTAATTGCGATTGCATAATATTTACGATGTGCTTTAAATAGCGGTTCTATCTCGTTCTCGGATGAAGTTCCGTGTATCAGGAGGCGCTTACCAGAAAATTACTCATTAGCGCGATATAACATCGTATTTTAATTTCACGTTTTAATTTATCATTGTTATTGTGCGAATTCCCGGGTGTCGAGAAATTTTTACATGCTAGAAACAAATGGTGAGAAAAAAGGCGAGTCAAATCGCGGACACAATATTGGGTATATTTATTTTTCTTATTTTTATATTTTCTATTCTCTTGAAATGAGATTGCGTATTATACATAATAATTTATATTTTATGGGGATATTTTAGATACTCCTCAATCCCGTCCTTTTCATAAATATTCAGCCTATCTCGTTTTTTCTATTACACTGCGTTTTCATCGGATCAATTCTTTATCATCCATTAGTTTTCTTTGATTGCCTATTAACGCTTTTTTGTTTTACGAATATTTTCTTCTCAAGAAAATTTCTGTAACAAACATCTTATTTTCATCGTCACGTAGTTTTGTAGTCCATCCATTAGTTATCTCGCAATTTTTATCTTATCGTGTCACAATTCCCTTCTTCACGATTGTGCAATTTTTCGATGTGATCTGCATAACTGATTTCACGATAATAATTAAACTAGTAATAAATTTGAAATTAAATGCAATATGCGTAAAATCACAATCATATAATAAATGAAACGAAAAATTATATATATTTATTCAATATTGTGACTTGCTTCGTTCTTAAATTTCTATCATATTTTCTATTTTGATATCAGCGAAAACTTTTCATGATAGTTAAAAATTAAAGATGTAATTAGGATTAATCGATGAATAACGATTGAATAATGACTCTCTGTTCTAATTAAAAATCAAGATCGCCAATCTTTCGTTTATAAATAGATTAATTCAGAGCTAAAATTTGACGATTGGAATCTTTACAACGTTTGATAGATTTTAGAAATTTCTTATTTTCGAAACAATTCTCGTGATTTCCAATTTTAATTGGTTGATTCAGATTATTATTTTTCTGTGCGCTGCGGCCTTAATGCAGTCGTATCTTTCTAAGTGCTTCCAAGGTCTTCATTGAATTACTTTTTTATTTTTAATCGTTTCTATTTGATTATTAATTAAGATTAGATACTCTATTTAATTATGTATTACTTTAAAATTCTTCTATTTTTTTTAAAGTGCAGTTTGCTAGCATTTTTTTTCAAGATTTATATTATTCCGCAGATATATCTTGTGTATAATTCCGTATAATCTCTAGTGTGATACCTAGCATAATATAAAAATATGCAGGGCCAAAAGTTTATTGACTGTAAAAAAACGTAAAAGACATGTGTGCAACAAACATTGTTTCAACTATTCGACTCACATTTGTGCCATATTTTGTCTAAAAAAGTGGTTTAAAAGTTTTGTTCAATAAAGTCTTCCAGTAGTTTCAGTATAAACGTTATTTTCTAAAACCACTTATAATCCGTAGCTACATAAATTGTAGGCTATTGTAATGTATATTGTGTAGGTGTAAAGAATATTTGAAGGTATAAAAAGGTGAACTTACACTCTTAAGAACGCTATTTATATAAGAAAACATGTGAAAAGTACATAATAAAGAAAGAAACCATGAAATTATTTTGTCGGTAATATTTTTACGATAAAATAGCCAAAGGTTTCGGCTAACAGTAATAAGAAAGTTATTTATGAAATTGTTTTCACAGTATTATAGCATCTCATGGAAAGAACAAAATGGTACAAAGTGGATTTGGAAAAACATAAAGGAACATTTTATAACGGGATACGTGCATTTTTAATACAAAAAGTAGTTACCAATCATGTCAAAATTGTGTGCTATATTGTCATTTCATTATTAATCGCATTGTTAATATGTCAGTTGCGCATCTCACAACACAAGGAATCGAAAGTAATCTAGAACGTTCAATGGGAATAGTGAAAAGAAGAAATGGTTCGGAGTGGAATGCACTTTTGACACAGGGAGCATGTTTTGTTTGGTATTCAATGAAGCGAGATCGAAGAACTGGCGACGTGATTCCGACCACTCTGGAGAACTCAGAGTCAGCGGAGGTACTGGAGGTGCTGCTAGTCAATCCGGGTAGACTCCGCCCTCATCGGACGACCAATCTACATCCACCATGCAGTGTAATGGGTCTGTCGTCGATTCCAGAAAATATCGCCTCCCGCCTACGGGAAGAGAGTGAGCAAGCAGAGGGGGAAGTCGGCCCTTGCACTTCCATTTCGATACTGCTGCTTGCTCTCATGCATTTGTAAGGAGGTGCATCGTAATATCCATTCTCATTCATAGATCACCTCCTGTATGCGAACGGCAAGTTTGTCTCTTAATCGTTTAATCACAGATGAAAATTCTTATTTGCGCATTACATATTTATATTTGCTGAAATTGATTAGTTTTCAAATAAAATGTGGCATTTTTGAAAGAAGTATTTGCGAGGAGTAGTTTGAATTTCTTTTAATTGTTAAGAATAAAGGTTTGGATATTTAAGAATAAAGAATAAAAGTTTATAATAGAAAATGAAATAAAAATATTATAATAAGTAATAAAATATTCTTCATGATATATAATAGTAATAATCTATTTAGTTTTTATTTTTTTAATTCATACTTCTGATGAGATATATATGCTTCAGTAAAATTCGAAGGATTATTTATCTAAAATGAGATGTATTTGATACAAATCTTCATACTAATTCATTAATATGCATTCTTCACGTACAAACGTTTACATGATGCCGACTATCGATCAAAGTACTGTCACAATAACGGAAGTTAATCATCCCCATTGTACGGTGATGACAGTGGCAGGTCACAAATTACCACGTAGTTTTGTTTTATTGCGGCAATTTACGGAAAGCAATATATCTCGTTTACTCATTGAGTGTAATAGGTGTGGTGCAATAACGACAGAAGTAATCTAGTGTCAACAGCAGATAATAAAGGGGTAGTTTATTTAAATTTATGAGAAATATTTCTATGATTTTTTAATATATCTCCAAATCTAATTGCCACATGTAAAATGTGAATATTAATTTTAAAAGTAAAATTAGCAAACACATTTAGTAAAATATACAATCAGTAAAAATAATAGCGAGTACCTCGTAGGTATTTATTTCACAGACGATTATATGATTTCCTACTTCGTGATATACTTTAATAAAAATTGATATTTGTTGTGAGACGATACATATCAGTGAATGTATTAATCATTTATATACTTTTATATATAGGATACTTATTAATTTTAATTATTTAAATAAATTGAAAGAAGATTCCGATTTTATTGCTAGATAGTACTAAATTATTAAATTAAAGATATTACAGATTGAATATCATTTTACATAAATTTTTGAGTTTAAAGAAATAGTTGTTTTAGCACTATTAATTTTTTAATACAATCAAAACTAATTACGTGGATGTGTTTAATTCATTAAAAAAAAATATTCAACAAATACAATATTTATAAAATAAAACATATTTCAATGCAAATAAATCCAAGAAGAAAAAAATCAAAGACTCAAGGAAAGAGAATTTGCAACTTGAAATTCAAGTATTTTCAAAGAATAGAGGATTCCAGAAATTTGTACGGAATAGAAAATAATTTATCTAAAATAGAAGTTTTTTGAAATAAAAATTTTCCATCCTATAATTTTCAGATAGAAAAAGAATAACAAGAAGAAAGGGAGACAGCAAGAACTATTTTCAAAGCTTTTTAAGTGCCTAAAAATTCCGAATTCTACATTTCTATATTAATTTGTAGGAGAAATGTAGAATAAATATTAATTACAAATAATTTGTTACATAAATTTAATAATGTATTTACATAATTTCATTAATATTATAGGTTCGTTTGTTATAAATGAGGCCATTACATAGACAGGCAGTTATGTAAACTTTTCTTCTAATAATAAAATAACATCATAGAAATTCACGAAACATATTCCTGCTATGTATGTTGTATATAAAGTTCAATTTTTAACTAGATATATGATAAAAATTGTAAATTTTCATTTGACTATAAAATATCTTTGTAGAAATTCAGTTTGATAGTTCATTAGATTACAAATGATTTCATTACTACGTATTGTGCAATACACTTGATCAATATATTCAATCTATTTACAATTTTGGTGATTTAAAATCGGTAAAAAGTGATATAAATAAATAAGTGATATAAAATGTCTGTAAAAGAGTAAAATCCCGATGTAAATCTATTAAATTCATGCTGAATTCTTTCATCTTTTCAGGTATTTCCTGTCAAAAAATATAATTAGAAGATTATGCAAACACGATATATAATCCTCATCTTTTGCAACATTCTCTTTTCTTCGTGATACCTTCTTATGCAGATTTCGACATATACATATTTAAATACTTCATAGATAATTATTATGTAAACTATTCTTTTATCAACTTTTGTAAAAGTTGACTCTCTTTTTGTATATAGCTATCTTTTGAATATCACATAGTTTTTAATGCTTATCGCTTATTGAAATTACTTCGTTAAAGAAACAAACCTCCACTAGACGCACAAAGCTGTATAAACTTAGCTTTGTATCGTGAATAAGCACAGTGATTATCGCACTTGGCTGCATGATAGAGAAGCTTTAATATGTTGTGCCGAATATGTTTTCTACGTTCTAATAGTATTATCTATGAGCATTAAGAGACTTCATACTCCAGGGCAGTCTTTATACTCGCTTCATCGTACACTACCTAGTGGAAACCATTCAATCGTTTCATTCGTCAAGTCAAGACGCCCGAGTGGTAAGCATATACCACCGAGAAATTCATTCTCCTGCAGAGTATCGTGATTCCATATCGTTGCTTCGAGTGTTCTCTCTTTGATTACTTCCAGCGGCATTCTATACTCCAACTAGTTCGATAAAAAATTATTACGTTAAGTTAAACAATATTTATCGCTGGTTGAAACTCGATTTATATCTTACCATTTCCATAAATGACGGATAACAATTCTTCTTCACCACTTTCGTTTTCCGTTTTGTCGCCTTCGTAGGATCGGGTTTAAGATATACCTTCACATACGTATTCGGCTCTTGACTGTTCGCCACTTTGGGGAGTCCTCGAGCGTGACAAACCATGACGGATAAAGTACCGCGAGTATAGTGAAGAGACAATTTGATCTGACCGCTTTGTACGTTGTCTCTAACTTTCTTCTCGGCCCACCAGTTTCCAACTAGTATATGAAAATAATACCACTTTTAATATTATTCCATAAATTGCAAACTTTATCACAAGCATCCGCAATTAAAACGGAGCTAATTATTAAACAATGCTTTTTAAATAAATTATATTTCATGCATATAACGAGACTTCCTCAATCAACTCCATTTATTTACATTTAATTTAAGTCTTCATTTCCGAGTGTTATAATAATTATAATCACAAGTCTCATATATATACAAATTTAAATGTATTTAAAAAGTTCAAGATATATGAAAATATATACCTTTGACTTTACGCAAACGGATGTCGGCATTCTGTTGGTCTCGTAACAGCGGATGGAAGAAAGTGTACACCAGATCGCTTTGGGAAATTTCGGGTGCCATTTTAAATAGGCTTACAAGGAATTTTTCTATATCAGCTCGTCGTTTATCAGCCACTTGTTTAATATTAGAGCGTCCCACGCTCATCCCACTTGGTAAACTGCAAAACAATCGGAGAAGTTAAGTTCTGTTTATTTTTGGAATGCTAATGACCGACATATTCGTAAACACATTCCCCCATTCGCGCCTCGAAGTAAGAGTAGCGTACGTATCGTAAGACGATATCATTTTAAAAATAAACAACAGCATATATATATAATATAGTTGATATCAAACGACCGCGTTAAGCAGCAGCGGTATTGAGAAATCTTTATATAGTAACATCGTCAGCTTAAACAGTGTTTCAATTTGAATGGGTTGCTGTTTTAATTAATTTTTTTCTGCGATATTTGCTTTTAATGAATTTTGTGCCACGTTCATCGCAATTAATCATCGAGTGACCAAGGTTGTTGAATATGAGATATGTCTGATTAATATCGGATAATCTGAAGATAACACATATCAAAAGGTGCGACATTTTGCGCTGAGTTTTTGTGTTTGAGATGTCCTACATTTTGTGACATATCGTTTTGTCATATTTTTCAGGATATATTGCAAAATTTATGATAATGTACAATCATATACATTTTTGGCGTTAAAATGTGATTATATCGCAATTCAATTTCTTGTGAATTTTACATGCGCTTGACATTTTTTTTTTCTGAAGCAAATACGAGTGATGAGTTTCATTGATACATCTGTGTTGTAAGTAAATTGTTTTCAACAATAATAATTATGCAAATAAGTGTGTTATTTGATAATATGTTTCTAGCAAAAGAGAATAATATATATTAAATTTCAGAAAATAAATTATATTCAAGAAATATATCATATTTTCAAGATCTACTCAGCCGTGATTTATCGATATATCAAAGTTTTCTTAAGAGTAAGTAATCCCATACAATTTTTATATTATTGTAATATTTAGATTAATATTTTTTAATATTATAAAAATAAGATTGTTATCAATAGATAATTTAAGAATTTAACGATTTGAATCTGTAATGCAGGCTAAATTATTTTTAAAGGTCTAATAGTAGATTCTAGAAGAAAATGGGTTTCAAATGGTTTCGAGCACGTCTAAAGATAACGAAGAAGGCGTCTAAAATTCCAGTAATGACCGGTTTATATCGGAGAGTTTCGTACGTTGAATCGTTTACATCAACAACACGGAAAAATGAGATTTCAAATGAACAAGTTTTTGAGCACAACGTTCCAGCAGCAAGTATTAATAACGAAAGCATGCAACATGATTCAAAAGCGGATCTTACAAGTCAATTATCATCATCATCAAGCATTGATTCCAAAGAAAGTAATCATACAGTTGAAAACGCGAAATCTTCTGCTAAAGATTCAACCATAAATGGAGAATCATCAACGCATGATAAGAAAGAATTGAATAAAATAAATAAAGATGAAAGTAATGTTTCAGATACAAAGAATCGTGTCAGTTCAGATAACGAGCTAGTGATTTAACAAGGGAAAAATGTTTGAAAATGGTTGTATATAAAAATGCACAAAAATGGATATTTTTGTGTCCCAATTTGTACATTTCGTTCTCTTATACACTTATTATTCGCTTTTATATAGTTTAAGTACTATATTTGAATTAATATTCTTTAATTTTAATTATACATAAACAAATACGCAATAATATATATGTTTATATATAAAAAATGTTAACAATAATAGTCTTTAGTATTAGAATAAGTGTATAAGATTATTATAATCCGCAGCACTTGTATTAAACAAGTTTGAGAGGAAACAATGATAACGAAAAGGATATGTGACTAGCATACATGTGCTTTTTACCTGGTCACTTTAGCAAGTGGAAAATGTATGCATAACTTCTGGTAGAATTCACAAAACTCTTTGTACGATCGGAACAGGTATGTCGGATCTGCTTGGTTTTTCCGCTGTATCCGTAAAATGTACATGTAATATTTCTCCGGGTCGTAACGTTTTTGATATCCGTGAACTTGCACGCTTGTCAGTTGACCTTCCTGTTGCATTCTACAAACATACATGTATTAATTGTATAAATAATTACAAACGTATGATTACATTTAATATTGGATGTGTTCATCAAAGTTGATTTTGAAAAAAAAGGCGAACAAGGAAAATATATATTTTATACTTTTCGACTTTTTTAATAAAATTTTATATCAACCATCACAGTACTTAATGATAGAAAATAACTCACGTATATGTGCGCGGAATGAAGGATAACAATTCCCCTTCGCTGTGATCTCCGGAGAATCTGAGCTGCGCCAGATTATGTAAAAAGAAGTTAAACTGCGTAAACCAGCTTTTCAACGAACTTTCTATCATCCGAGCGAACGTCGCCGCGGCTTCGGGATTCGTTTGTCCAGGAAGCAGAGCCTTCTGCACGTAACTAACTGCATCCATGGTCACTCCAGGAATACCGGAGGAGGTCATCTGCGAAATAGTGTACTCGTTCATTCTCGCCTTGTTGAAATGATCCTTTATCTCGATGTCGTGCAACTTTTGCGTTATAACACTTTGCTTGTGCAGATCACTGAAGCGATTCTTTTGGGATATTAAGTCATTCATGGTGATTTATGATTGAAACGATAAAGTTCGAGTCTTATTTTTATCAGCGTATAGCCTATAGAAATATTAATTCGTCAAATTTATTCACTGTCAGTATTTCACTCTTAACACAATTGACTCAGACTGCTGCAGCACACGATATTGTAAGAGTGATAAACACTAATTAGCTACATCATGTATATAGTTTGTGCTGCGATAGCGGTCTGCTTTCTGATAAAGTTCACGGATAAGTTCTTCCGTTGCGGTTATATTGTTTTCATTATGGAGTGTCAGACCACATAACTCGAGTTTTTTACTTCAATTCTATGTGTGCAATATAATCCTTGTAAAATTTATATAAAATGCGCTCGTATCTATAATAATAATTAATTTAGAATATGTATCAGTTTTGATCGTACTAAAAATAAATCTTTCCAAAATGATTTATTTAACTTAATAACAAATATTAGATACAATATTGTGATAAATTTTGATAAATTAACGAAAAATCTGTTAGAAACAAAGCAGTTTAGCACACTGTCATTCATTGTTATTTCATGTAAGAAAATATATGACACTTTTAGAATTAAATTTTACTTTTGTAAAGACAAAGAATCATGAGAAAGACAACTTATATCCCATAAGCGTTATCATAAAATTTCAGAATGTTGCAGTACGAATTTATAAAAATATATTAGTGCATATATCTTATTGAACATTATTTGGATTGTAAGTTGCACTTGCATGCAGTGTAATTATTTTACGCAACATAAATATTACAAAACATACCAATCCGAAAAGATGAAGAATTAGATTTCCATGTTTCCGCACTATATTAAAAGCTTGACAGCACAAATCCACGAAGTGGTGAAACTTCGCTGACGGTTTAACTCCTCCATTTATAACATACGCCATATCCGATGTCAGCACAAATGGTGTTCTGTCTCTGATTAAAAATATAACGCACAAGATATTACACATAGCTGTATCGCTTTAATTAAAATAGAAATATAAAAATATGTATCTCTAACGATTAATAAACCATAAAAAAAATTGTGTATGCTCACCTCTTGAAGTTTCCAAACATTTGTGCATCACCAAGGAACTTTCCGAAGTCAATGTGAAACAAATGACCTGACGTTTTCAGCATAATATTATCGTTATGTCTATCACAAATTCCTAAAATGTAAGTGGCAACGCTATAGCCGGCACAAGACGCGGTGAAATTTTCCACCGCTCTCTCGTACTCCAGTTCCGAAGGATTGTGCTTGGCTAACCACTCAGCGATCGGTCGATCCTTAAACGACCCGGTTAGCCCGAATTCAACTTGGATCCTCCGCAATGTCTCTGCATTCGTTACCATTTCTATCATTCCGCGTTTGTGGCCAGTGGGCACACAGGCGAAAGTGACCATTTTCAGATCGAGGCCTTCCTTCAACCACAGTTTGTCCATAATGCGAACCATTTGGAGAGTCAACATATCTTGCTGTAAGTCGTCGCCAACCTGAGAGGCAGAAAATACGATTCGTGCAGACATTGAATACGTTTTCACGTGAAACGACTTTGATAATTGTGGATTATTTCGGAAATGTATACCTTGAAGATCGCCGGACTTATCACATTGTCGCAACTGAGAAAGTTAATTTTCAACGGGAGAGTGAACGATTGGAAATAGGCACATGTCTGTACGTTGATACCGAACACCAGCTTACTGGGAGACAGTGGCAAGCATGTGCCGTCATCCTCCATTAACTGGCAGTGTATATTTTGTAAGCCGTTTTTAAGCGTTTCCACTCGTAACGAATCCTTCACAATTTTAATATTTTCAGCTACTTCGTGCAGGTTCTGTAAAAAGATGCGACTTGAAGTATCTGGTCTTCCTGGTTACATTCTTTCTTTCTCGTTAAATAATTGAAACGTAAAAACATACTTTAACAAGTAATTGTTGAGTGAGAAAACTCTTTCTCAGTGCATCTCCAATAACAGCCAGCAACGCTCTTAACATTAACTGCAATCTTCGGTGATAGCGAGCGTAACTGATAGCTTTGTCATCTTCCGCGGTAATTTCAGAAGAATTCTAAAAAAACAAATGCACTTTATTAATAATGCGCCTATTTTTATAATATTTATGTTGATGATATGAATTGCATAAAGCAGCTACTACTTTTACATGCTTAGGTGTAGAAATAAATTCTTTCTGACTTTCGATGTCTTTATTGATTCAAAGCTGCTAAATTTCTATCACGGCGACATCCAAAAAAAAAAACAAAATTTATTTTTACACCTAATACAAAAATAAGTGATTTCCCAGTCCGATTAATATCTTATTAACGCTCAGTGGATGCGCAAGCTATTAATAATGTTACCAACGCCGATGATCCAACCTGTACCTGGGGACTTTGTCCCGGCAGCGCTTGAGTTAGCAACCAGTAGATGTGATGGGCCACTCTCGGTGAAAGTAAGGCACGCTCTAACAAGAACCGAGTCAGAGGTGAGGCTTCGTACGTCTCGTGTTTCATTGCTTGAAGTAGCTGCGGCAGATAATCGACGAGTTCATCGTTGCTCAGCTCGCGGATCCATTCAACTGCCATCTCTCTGACTTTCATATCTGGGAAACTGTAAGAAGAAATGCGGTAATTTGCGAGACACATCTGCGTGGATGACAAATAGAGAAATAATTTCTATAAAATATATAATACCATGGTAAAAGTAATTGTAAGGCTTGCACTGGAGGCAGTGGACTCCAGACTCGGAGCGACGCGTGTAAGTCCGGTAAGCACGCCCAATCCCAACTGTGCGCAGCTAATAATACTTTAGGTAGAGCTTCGGGTCTGTCGTGTAAGTAATGTCTTTTCTCCCATAAAATTTCCCGTTCGTCGACGGGCGGTCTAGAAAAAGAACAAGAATCAGCTTTTGCAAAGTACAGTAAAAGAGTCTCGAGTCTATTTTTATTTATAATTGTCATGCCATTTAGAGCGTACCTCGAAAATGTATCCTGCTGCGTGATATCTATTAATAGCTCCTGCGTGTTCTGATCTAACGAATTAAAATCTAACGACTCCACATCGTAATCTCTCAATTCCGTGGGGAACAACACCTTTCCACCGTAATCTGGTAGTTCTACTCCGATGATGGGATGCGTGTCGCCGCGCGGGTGAATTCCAGGCGCTGGCGCCGGACCTAATCGTTTGTCTGCAAGGGCTGGCCAAAGGGACAGAAAAAAACTCCCTTGGCTCATAACGCTATAATTAAAATGAAGATACGTAAAAGTGTGCGTATGACGCAAAGAAACGTATGTGACAATGTAACATCTCATCGGAGAGAAAAAGCTGGATGAGGAGCAATTTTTGAGATGCGGCAAATTATTCGTCTCTTACCCGTCGTAATCGAAGAACTGTATGGCGCCCCATCCGAGCTCTTCCTTCTGCATTGCGTTCTCTGCGGATGAATTTGACTCGTGCTCTGCGGGTTGCAACGTTCGTCCGTAAAGAACTAGCACGAGTCTGGCTTCTCTTGGTACTTGACAAACACTTATTCCGTGAAATTCCAACCTTAAAAGACATATCATTTTTGTTACATTTATCTGACGTCAGAAAGACGTTGCAAATGCGCGTTTGCGCTTACCATGAGTTAAATAAAATCCGCGGATGATAGTTTGTACTGACAGTCATCGGCTCCGACAAAACTGGATTCCCGACCGGCCTGGTTCCATGGAAGATTTGAGCTGCCACTATATAATCATCGTGTTTCCACGAGGTTGGTAGCCTGTGCAGAGCCCCAACGCGCACCAGAATAGTATCAATTACCTCTGACGAAATCAGCGTATCTATTCAATGGAAATAAATTACGAACGTATTTCTACAAAGTACTTTTTACGAAAGAATCAATTCTCTTACTTGTCGGAAATTCGCCTTTGCTGCTCAGCTGAAAATCGACTCTAAACGCATGACAGTACGTCTCGACGAGTTCTTGGATAGCATCGCGAATTTTGTGACAATGGGAGGAAATCACATCGGGGAACTTTTTTCTCAGAGTGACTACAGCGTAATCGCCATCCTCGTGTATGATCTCTGGTTTCTTGCATTCTATGTTAGCTGTGTGAGCTTGTGGTAGAAATTGGCAGCAAGCGTTTACGAAGTTGTCGACGGCCTCCGTGGTTTCGACCGTCTCAATACTTCCCATTAAGGCACACACTGCTTTTACAGCTTGTACTACGCCGTGCGGTTGAAGTTGAGGTAGTAAAGCAGAACCTTGATTGGTGGTTGCCAATTGTTGCGCCGCGGTCTCCACGCGTTCCATTTCTTTCTCTACTGTCTCTGTGATAAACAAAGTAGAACATTTATACAAATGTACGACAAGAAAGGCATATTTTTGTATATGCTAGAGTTATACCTAATAAAATAATTAATGTATCATATGAAATAGGCTGCGAGGGTTCATTCGGTAGAATATCTTCTAATCTTAGACACTGATCACGATTGTCATCTTGCAGCTGGAGAAGAAACGGTAGCATGAGTATTTAAATGTAGCCGAATGTTTAAGTAGCGGCATGATACTGACTGTTCGTGCGATGGATTGCTTAATTTGTGCCCTGCTCATTACAGCTAACTCGATATCTTTTTCTAATTTGATGCACTGATGTATGTATTCGTATTGTGCTAAAGTCGTGTTAGGTGCCAGGTATTCAGCTAGTCCCCATACTCTCAAACAATACTTTTCTACATTCACTGTATCTTCGTCCTCCAAGGAACAGGCGACATTCAAAATAACGTGCTCCACGCTGCAGTTCACTGCAACATAATATTTCAATTAATATGTGATGCAATCGTTAAGATTTTAAAACAAATTCTTGCAACTTACCATTACAAGTGAAAGAAATAGATTGTGCAGGATCTTTGTCGTTATTAACTAATTGCGGATGAACTACTAATTTTATACTTGTACCGTCTGGATACAAGTTCTCCATCATTGGACTGACAACGTATCCAATATTTGTACCAGGATCATTAAACGGAAACTCGCGTTGAATTATTTCAGATGAAATTGAATTATAAACAATGAAAAGATAAATTATTTAAAATGTGCCCGCTAAAACATTGTTTTCCACTAACCTCGTATAGATTTTATCATTTCGTGAAACGCTTTCAGATCACAATCATGAAGAGATGATCTAGTTTTCTTAACTCTTACATTTTCGTATAATCGAGTTTGATGCTTTTGCTGTAAATAATATTAAAGTATAATGATTATTTCGTTAAAAAAAGAAGAAAAACAACTATTTTCGAAACTCACTCGACGATCTAAAGAAGTTTTCCGTCTTTCTATGGTATTCCATGCAGCCGAATTTCGAGGAGGCAATGGAGGTGGTGCGGCTGGCGACAAGGCTGGCGATTTTGCAGATTTCTCCACAGCAGCGTAAACCGGATCCGAGTTGACGCTTTCGTTTGTACTGTACATGTAATCAAACGGATCGAATGGATCGTATACACTGCCACTAACCTGCGACTGTGAATCTGTAAAAATTGATACATAATAAGAACAAAATAACAAAATCTACTTACATAACAAACATTTTTCCGTTAAAAATTACATTATTTTGTACAACACTATAATTTATTAACAAGTTTTGTGCCGCGTAAGCCAGTTTATACTGAACTTTGTGTTTAGATTGCTCGATATTATCGTTATTAGGAGAAATTATTATAAAATTTCATAATATTAATTGATGTATAATTATCACGTATAATGTTATCATGTTAATGAATTGTTGATGATTTATGTGGCACAGCAATCTCCACTTTTGCAAATATATATGTATATCTTACAAAAACATATATAATAAATTCGATAATGAGTCAATCCATGCGGTATAAATAAAAGTATAAATAAATGTAAAATGAACGTGAAAAATATTAATGTGTTAAATGATATTCGACAGTTTACCATTTTTGTGTTCTTGCGTTGAATCATGTCCACAGTCAGTCTTAATAAGTAAAGGATCAAACGCCTCCAATACACTAACTCGCGCATTTGGCTTGTCCTCTATGTGCTCAAAACTATTTAAATCTATAAGATTGCTATTTGGTTTTTTCTCTATCACTTTTAATACGTTCAACTGTTCATCATCCTTAGAGAACGCCGATGCTGATGGAGCACATATGGCAGGTGTAACGGTTGGTCTATAATTCATAGGCAATGGAGGAATCTAAAAAAGAAATGCAACATTTAAGATAACATTCCAGGTGATTTCGTTTTCGTCATGCATTGGCCTATATGAAGTTAGCCCCCCATTTTTCGATTTTGAATATTTTTTTAGTTGTTCCAGGTTGTTCTACGTTTGTTCTATATTGTTCCAAAGTTATGAGCAAAAAAATCAAAAAACATGACGGGAAAAGCAAAAAAACGATTTATTTTGTGGCCACCCATTTTTTAAAAAATTCAAATTTTTTTGCTGTTCTGGATTGTTCTAATTGTTCTAAACATTGTTCTAAAATATTAATCCCCCTAAAAAAGAATTTACTGAGTTAGAGCAAAAAATAGCATTAAGCGTCCAAATAGTATTTTTACATTTATCGCTATTATTATATTATGTTTTGACACCAAATTACATATTTAAGCTAAAAACGAATAGAACAACCCAGAACAACTCTCAGTTTCACCAGAACAAACATATAAAAGGCACTTTACTCTTGAAGGTAGAGAATTATTTTATCTTTTTCGACTGATAATGTTACATCAGCGACATTAAAACCTAGAACAATGAGAAATAGACACAGAACAATCCGGAACAACTCTCAGTTTTGTCAGAACAAACGTTTAAAGAGCACTTTACTCTTGAAGATAGAGAATTATTTTGTCTTTTTCGACCGATAATGTTACATCAGCGACACTAAAACCTAGAA